ATTAGGACCATTTGTTACACATTCCACACCCTGTCCTGCCTCACCACAGCACCCCTGCCTCACCACAGCACCCCTGCACATCATTATAACCTTTGTTCATCATCTGTCCCTTTCGAAGATAAAATTCTCCAAGGAGCAGAGACTGCTTGTCCCTTGTCCATTCCCCAGCATCCGGAAGTGCTCGATAAACATTTGTGGAGTGGATATATCAGTTAGAGGGAAAAAAAAGTATCATAATTCCATAATCGATACAGATATAGCTATGTGGTGATAGGCTTACACACAGGAAAAAGCAGCTAACTGTGCCACGAAGGAAATGGGAATATTACACACACACACACACACACACACACACCCCTCGTGGCTACTACAATGATAACAAGTGATCTGATGGAGCCCTAAGCTATTCGCCAGTCGTGGTCCCCAGAGTGAATGCTCACAAAAGCCTCATGAGGAAGTTAGCATCCTTATTTGACAGAGGAGGAGGAGAGAGATCGAGGCACAGAGGACCGAAAGTGGCTGGCCCAAGGTCACAGACAAGGGCTGTGTGACTTCACACGGTATCCCACCTCAAATCAGGAGAGTCGGAGGGAAGGAGAAATGAGATCACTTCCGTAAAGCAGACAACCACCAGCACAGGGCTCGGCAGACCCTGGGAACAGAGTTGGCCTCGGCCTTCCTGCCTCATCAGGCTAACCTGTGAGGCTGCGTGCACAAACGTGCAGTTTGGTGATTCTCAATCATCTGAAGAAGCTCTTATCCAAAACACTGAGGCCCAGATCCCTCCTGAGACCAATTAAAGCCTAGTTTGGAACGTGTGGGGTGGGGAGCACAGAAACTGGATACTGGTGCTTTTTGCAAGCTCCTGAGTGACCGTGTGTGCGGTCAGGGCTGGGGACTCCTGGGTGAGCGCTCTACTGACTTTCTCAGACCAGGGGACCTGGCAGGAGACACGGGAAATCGGCTGGAGTACGAGAAAGAATGGCTTGACTGTTTGACCAGGTTCCCTAGCTGAGTTATTCATTCACCTGCAACTGCATCCTGAAACAGCATCCCTGCCAAGTCTGCCTGTGGCTAAGAACTGCGTGCCCAGCAGTGCCAAGGGGGCAGGTGCCCAGATGCCAGGAGAGGAGGATCATCACCTGCAGACCTGACGTCTCCCGGCAGGAGCTGGAGACCTTGCAAAAGTCACTCGACTCCGTGGGCATGTTTCCTCACCTGAGAAATGAGAGTCATCATCATGTAGTGAGGATGAAAGGAGATATTAATGCCGAAGAATTCACTAAGATGAAAAACAAACAAAACCAGAAAAAAAAAAAAACACCACTTAAAGAGAAAGTGTTATCACTGCCAACCTGGAGTAGTTGGGTAGAGTGGTAGGTACAGCAGGGGTGTGGGTTCAAGCCACTCCTTAGTAATACGGAGTCAAGAAACCACTCTGCACACATGGCCCCGTTCTACCGTCCACAGCAGAACGATGGCTCGTGTACTCATTCCCTCATTCATCAAGCGTGTGCTGGGCGTCAACCACAAGGCTATTAGATAAACCCAATGACGTAAGACATATGAACATGCTTTGGAATACCGTAATCTGCTCTGCAAATGAGAGACTATGTTCCTGCGTGCAATGATTAATCATGGACTCATGGGCTTTCAGGGTCTAGAGGGACCTCCCATCCCAGGCCCTCTCAGTCCAGTGTGGTCTCAACATGGATCTCTCCAGTGATGAGCCCCTGACTGCTGTCTGAGACCACTCAGTTCATCCAGTGAGGCTCTATTTCCTTTTGCTCCGTTGATATGTCTGTCTGTTCTCTCCACTTCTCAATCTTAGTTCTGATCTTTGGGGCCATAGAAGACATAACTGACCTACTGGCATCCTTCCTGCATTTCTAACTGGAGACGGCCATCGTGAAAGTCCACCTCAACCTCCCAACTCCTCCCCAGCCTTCTTTGCATGAAGCTGAGGCAAACCGGAGTCCCCTGTCTCCGTCAGCTTGGGCCGCCACAATAAAATATTATAGACTGGGTGGCTTAACCAACAGAAATTTATTTTCTCATAGTTCTGGAAGCTGAAGTCAAAGATCCAAGCGTTGACAGGCTTAGGCTCTTCTGAGGCCTCTCTTTTTGGGTTGTAAACGGCTACTGTCTTGCCATGTCCTCCTACTGGCGGGGGGAGATATCAAGTTCTCTGACATGTCTCCTTCTACGGGACACGAATCCTGTCATGGGGCCCCACTGTCATGACCCATCTAAACCTAATCACCTCCCAAGGAGCTCAGGTACATAGAATATCACCTTGAAGGTTAGGGCTTCAGCATGTGAACTTGGGGGGCGGGGGGCACAACGCAGTCCATAACACATCTCCCCTTAAGGTTCACTTGCTAAGCATTAGCAAATCTTATTCAGGCGCTGAGTACCCACAATGCCTACAAAGCATTTGTTATACATGTGGAGCAAACAAATATGAATATCCTGCCCTCAAAACACTCTGGTCTAAAGAGGGTCACTACCTACATGTAAGAGGTTCATGCACCCTAAGAAAAAATGGGCCATAAGCCAGAGATAGGAGTCAAAGAGGTCACAGCAAGAAGAAAACATAGCCCTGCCCTTTGATTCGCTTTTAGTATAGAAGTGGTGACTCTGAGGCTGAAATCAGGAGATTCCTAGGCATTTGCTGACCGAGCGACTTCTCTTGCTTACAAGGCTCTGAGCTTCGAGCGGCAGTTGTAGCCATGAGCATGGCATTGATTTTGTTTTCTGCTACAGGAATGCGATCCTTCGAGGTGGGAAGGATCATACCAGACTTCTTCATACCCTTCACCCCCAGCATAGTGCCTCACCCCGAGTAGATGCTTAATGACAGGATCTCCTAAAATAACACGTCAACAACAAGACCTCTCCAGAGACACACCTTTATCACCAGAGGTGATTTGCTAAAGGATGGTCATGTGCCTTCCTAAATGTCAGAGGCCCACCCTCTGATTATTAAGGGGAGCCAAGGGCCCAGTGCATCCCAGAGAGCTGAGCCGTCGAAGCCACTATAACACTGTTCTTATGCAGACACAGGGCAACCAGAACTGGACTGACCTTTTTAACTTTTTTACCATTTATTTATTTTTGAGACAGAGAGAGAAAGAGCACAAGTGGGGGGTTGGGGGCAGAGAGAGAAGGAGACACAGAATCTGAAACAGGCTTCAGGCTCTGAGCTGTCAACACAGAGCTGGACACGGAGCTTGAACTCACAGACTGCAAGATCATGACCTGAGCTAAAGTCAGATGCTCAACAGACTGAGCCACCCAGGTGGCCTTGGACTGGCCTTGGCTTTTGATGCTGACTCACCACCCAAAGTCCAGGTCTCGAGGACAGGTTAAATCCTATAAAAATTGAATTTGGTGGAAAAGCTGAGCGCTGTGTGGCTGCCCGCTGTGCTACAGGTCTTGGGGGAGGGCCGGTGCCCCGGGCGCTGGCATCACTGGCCAGTGCATGGAGCAGGAAGACATTTCCCAGTGTACAACAATGTGGAGGCCATTGAAACGACTGTTGCATCCAGTACAACTGACTTCCCTGATTTCGTCAAGTGGGAAGTGAGACAGGATACAGTTCAAAGTAAGGTCAGTGCTGTGGGTCCTTGAGGAGCAAGATGTCCCAGGCACTGTGCGCTGGGTCCTGAAATGCAGAGGTACAGACACCAGGCTTGAACCAAGTGTAACTCAACTTCTGGGTTCCTGTCCATCTCCTCCAACACTGAGTGAGAAATTCTCGCTATTCGGCCTTGGAAACACTTCTACCTTTTTTTTAACTGGATGACTTTCCTGAAATCAAGCCTCACCGAGCTAGGATTCTTACTCAAATCTATTCCCTATGCCAGAATCTTATTGACAGGAAACTTCAAAGGATCAGGTGCCAAAATCACCAGCACAGTAGTTTATATTCAGCATGCTTTAATACTAACATTATACTAACATGAATTTAATGTAATATTAAGATAGTGTACATTAAAATTCTGCGTATCTTTAGTTCACATAGAATTGAGATGTGACCGTGTGGCTTCCCCTTGGTCATTTCAAACACTAAAGGGGCGCCTGGGTGGCTCATTTAGTTAAGCAGCTGACTCTTGATTTCGGCTCAGGTCATGATCTCACGGTTTGTGGGTGTGAGCCCCACCTCAGGCTCTGTGCTGACAGTGCAGAGCCTGCTTGGGATTCTCTGTCTCCCTCACTCTCTGCCCCTCCCTGCTTTCTCACACTCTTTCTCTCTCAAAAATAAATAAACATTAAAAATTAAAAAAAAAAAAACAACCACTGAAGACAGGGCGTGTATAGCCATTTGCCTGTATACCTATGTTTACACCACTCACATCCACACACAATACATCATGATTGGCACCACCATTGCCAATGTCAGATTTGCTAAGCGTTAGATTTTTTTTTAAAGGAGTTTCTCAAAATCTCATGCTGTACTGTGAGACACACACACACACACACACACACACACACACACATACATACATACACAGTCCCCAACTTCCAATGGTTTGACTTACAATTTTTCTACTTTACAATGATGTGAAAGTGATATGCATACAGGAGGGAAGTGTACTTGGAATTCTGCGTGTGGATCTTTCCTGTGCTAGGGACTGACAGCGTGATCCTCCCTCATGGTGCTGGGCGGCGGCCACAATCCCAGTCAGCCCGCGGTCGTGAGTGTCAGCAACTGATCCGCTGACAGCCATTCTGTTTGTCACTTTCAGTATAGTAGTCAAGAAATTGCATGAGATATTCACCATTTTATTATAAAAAAGGCTTTCCATTGGATGGTTTTGCCCAACTATAGGCTAATGTAAGTGTTCTGAGCATGTTTAAGGCAGGCTACGCTAAGCCATGATATTTGGTAGGGAGGTGTAGTGCGCGCATTTTTGACTTAAAATATTTTCAGCTTAACAATTGTTTTATCAGGATATAACTGATATCTGTAAGTCCCGGCTGTAAGTCGAGAAAGAGTTATAGACATGTATGCGCGTGCACACGCGCGCGCGCACACGCGCACACACACACCTATTTGGAAAAGATCACAAAGTCTCACGGTTCAATTCATGCTTGCCTTTTGGGTTCAATGTAACAGGGAGGACCTGGAAAAAACAATGAAAGGAGACCAGTAAGAATTTCTAGGGAATTATTAAGAATTTCAGTATAATGGTACCTGTGGCTTACCCAGGACATAGAAAAGGCCCTTCGATGTTGCAAATGTTTTAAGAGACTGAGATACTTTGTTATGTGACGTTTTTAAAAATGTTTTTAATGTTTATTTTTAAGAGAGAGAGAGAGAAAGACAGAGCACAAGCCAAGGAGGGGCAGAGAGAGAGAGAGAGGTAAGGAGACATAGAACCCAAAGCAGACTCCAGGCTCTGAGCTGTCAGCACAGAGCCCAATGTGGGGCTTGAACTCACGGACATGAGATCATGACCTTAGCCGAAGTCAGATGCTCAACCAATGGGCCACCCAGGCGTCCTTGTTATGTGATGGTTTTATTGTAGTGAAAACCATTTCTGATCACAGAATTTCTGAAAATCTTGTCACTTCTTTTAGCATTCTTACTGGAAGATTATCTTTTTGTTGAAAGATTAAACTTTTTCCCTTCTTTTCCATAGCCTTTGGCTGAAAAAAAAAAACAAACCTGCTTCTGCTAATGAAGTAGGCATACATCTAATATTTTATATGCTTTTCAGCTATGTAATTTAATATTGGGATACTTCATTATTAGCTTATGTCATTGATAGAGTGGTGATGTGTATGAATATTAGTTCAACCATATACTTATAATGTCTGGGAAGATGTGGCTATAATGCTGTGGGAGAAATAATCTGGCTGAGCTCACTTGCTTGCAAAAAAACCTAATGTAAGAGCCTAACTAAGTGAATACTGAAATGAAGAGAACATCACAGAGTGGACTTAGCTTCCAGTTCCTAGACAAGCCTAGCTATGGCCTTCAGGCCCCCCATCCCACACTGAGCCCCTAAAACTCATCAGGCAGCTGAAAGGATGGACGGCTTAAAGGCTGGGAGTGCTCAGCATTTTGCCCAGCACAGTGATGGTTGGAGAAAGACAAGTATATGTTCTATTTTTACTGTCATCGCCATAATAATAATTACCGAGAGAAGCATCCACAGAAACACCATGCCAGAACAAGGCAAAGAATCTAGAATGCAGAAGTGGGACCGGCATGTAGGAGCTATATGAGGTCATGAGGCAGCCCAGTGACGGAAGCAAAAAGAAACAGTTCTGGAGAATGAATCCAAAAGGAGGCAAGGGGCAGGGACGAGTTCTTGCAGAAACTAACCCACTGAACACGTCAGAGGCACAGGGCATACCTTTTTGTATCCGTTTCCTCACTGATAAATTGAGACAATGTGACCTAGTAGTGGGGACATCACATTAGTCAACTTGGAATAGCTCTCCAAACATAGGAGACCTTCAAGAGGTGTTAACTTTTGTTCTTGCTGTTCCCTTCTTGAATCAAGGAGCATTGGCTCTTAAATGGGAAAACTACCCTATATGCAAACATAAACCCAAGTAAATGAAATTTTACATAAACTACAAAAGCCTAGTGATCATTAAAAAAATCGCTGGAGGAACTGATCACCGTTCACTAATGAACTGGGTTTAGAAATATCAAGTTCCACTTAACCAATCACTGTTCCTTAGAGGTGCAAATATGATGACACACTTGGCAAATTTCTAATTTATACTCCTCTGAGGAGACTAGAAGAATATGCACTTAGGAATAAAGTTCTCAAGGATGAACGATTCCCAGCTTCCTCAGATAAAAGTAAGAGGAGTCAGCTGGTTTTACTGTTAACCGGCATGGCCTATGCTCCTCCAACCAACAGATTTGTTAAGGATCAGATGTGGGAAAGCAGACAGAGGACTAGAAATGGGTGAGTGTTCACTGGGTAAGACTTTTTGTGTGGCACTGCCTGTGTGCAGGAGTACGCAACAGAGATGGGGTTGGATGGAGGCCATCAAGACTAAATGCACATGTGCTTACTACTTTTCCACACTAATATTCAAGCATGCTCTTTGTTTAAAACACGAGTCAAAGTAACAGCTCCTACTTTCTCACACCTTCCAATCACATTTCCCAGAAATATCTGTTAACAAGAAGTACATACTCTTCTCAGAATCTCTCCATGTGTTGATAAAATGCATATGCACATTTTTTTCTGTCTGGTTTTACAAAAGTGGGCTAATTCTACACAAAAAGTACGACAACTATTCTTCAATTAATTGATTATGGACACCTCTCTAAATTAGTATGTATCAATTTATATTATTTGAATTTAAATTCTTTTTTTTTAACGTTTCACTTTAAAGTGCCAAAAACTGTTGGCCCACTGCCAAAAAGTCACATGGCCATAAAGTGCTTACAAATTCAGTGAATTCCCATAGCCTTGCCATTTCTCAGTATTGATGTCTTGTGTAACCACAGGATAATTACCAAGTTATATCAGGAAATTAAGATTAATATAATACTATTGCTTAATCGAGACACTTGCTCAGATTTTACCTTTGGTGTCTTTTCCAATTCAGAATCCAGTCCAGGGTCCCATCCTGCATTTACCCGCCACATCCCTTAGCCTCCTTTAATCGGGGATCATTCCTCAGTCTTGCTTTGTCTTTCATTTTTGAAGAGCACTGACCAGTTATTTTGGAGAATGTCCCTCAATTTGGTTTTCTATGAAAGTTCCTAGTTATTAATTTCAGTGTTTGGGCTTCTGGCGAGATGTCCACTGAAGCAGTGGCTGACTCCAAGGCTGGGGCAGGGACGGCACAGAGGAGCCTGGCGTCTCTCGTAGTGCCAAAAGTAAGGCAGTGCTCAAAAAATGAAAGGCATCCAGTGGCCAGATCTAGAAAAAACTGAGCAAAAGATAACCACAGTTATCGATAATACACATATAATGAACATGCATGGGTTCATACCAATACGAATCATTAAATTTCTCTGAGTGGAAAAGTAAGTTCTTCCTGACATTAGAATCCCCACTGATAAGTACAGAAATAATGACGAGATGGACAACTGCTATTTGGCAAGTACCAACGGGTGAACAGTTTCAAGCAAATAATCAATGATGGGTGCTAAAATTAGCCAGGCACAAGTAAGAGGAGAAACCCAATAGGTACATAGTTTCAAAGTATCTCCTGACAAGGTACTTATTAATAATAAAGAGACAAATAGTAACTTTACAGTGGAGAAACCTGGCAGACATCGCCTTCATCCAGGGATCAGGGTCAACATCATCAGTAACGGGACAAGGCAACATCAAGTGCCTCCTGATCTGACACACTGAGGAGGACACATGTCACTCCTCTTGGTGACTGTTGAGCAGGACATTGTCAATCATTGTCAATCTGTCTTCCAAGTTCTACTATTTTTTTTTAATTTTTAAAAATATTTACTTAGGGGCGCCTGGGTGGCTTAGTCAGTTAAGCGTCCGACTTGTGCTTAGGTCATGATCTCACGGTTCGTGGATTTGAGCCCTGCGTCGGGCTCTGTGCTGACTGCCAGCTCAGAGCCTGGAGCCTGTTTCAGTCTGTGTCTCCCTCTCTCTCTGACCCTCCCCTGCTCACGCTGTCTCTCTCTCTCTCTCCTAGAAATAAATAAAACATTAAAAAAATTTTTAAAAATAAATAAATAAAAATATTTACTTATTTTTGAAAGAGAGAGAGACAGAGTGCACACAGGGGAGAGGCAGAGAGAGAGGGAGACACAGAATCTGAAGCAGACTCCAGGCTCTGAGCTGTCAGCACAGAACCCAATGCGGGGCTCGAACCCGTGAACCACGAGATCACGACCTGAGCAGAAGTTGGATGCTTAACCAACTGAGCCACCCAGGTGCCCCTAGGTTCTACTATTTTATCAATGTTGTAAAATAAGTACCTTTTGCGACTTGTCTTACTATTTCTAGACTCATCAGAAGCACACACACTCTACGCCTTAGAAGGGCCTGCCAAAGCTTCCTTCAACAGAGTCGGTCCGATTCATCCCCAGCAGTGCATGAGCATACCCACCTTCCCTTACCAACATTCATCGCTATAATCTGCCAGGGTGTCTAAGGCAGGAGCAGAGGAAATCAGCTGTGGCTGTGCCAGCACCGGGGCTGACGCTGTGAACAGAGGCCACAAGAACAAGGAACATGGTGCATCTGTTCATGCAGGTCTTTTCTGAAGTCAGGGCTCCAGCCAAACGGGAGTCAACAGCATGCACGTGCACCACAGAAGATACGAAGGAAAGAGACTCTAACACATCTGCAGGGTGCCATATTCCCTTGCTACTTGGGAATGACTCGAGAGCTCGGATGTGCACCAACCACACTGGGCCTCAGCTCCAGATGTCAGGATAACAAATCTCAAACGATACCAATGCAGGAATGACATTTCCCCATCAAACTTGTTAACGATAACTACCCACCTTTGTGTTGTGTTTTATAACCAGCTTTGTGTCACTTTTGGTAACGTTTCATACCAACTTCGACAAAAGCACTACTACCTTCCCAGGTGACCAAGAGCAGAAACTCAGTGAGGGGAAGTGACTCGGCCAGAGTCAAACAGCTTGGGAGTGAGAGAGGCAGCTGGTATCTGGAAGGCTTGTTCAGACTGCATCTGGATTATTCTGATACTAAGGGCACACACACACACACACACACACACACACACACACACATTATTTCATTTCCTCTCCCCAGACACTAATGAGGCAGGGGCCGTTATTAATAAGCTGCATTTTGTAGAGAGGAAAAACTGGGATTTTGCCCCAGTTCTTGCTAGCTGTAAGGGACAGGCTAAGGGCTCCCATTGTTCTATGTGACTTCCAGGCCCATGTTCCTGTGACGGCACTGCCGGCGCTCTTCTCTATGATCTCGAAGACCTTGCTTCAGGCTGACTGTGCCCTGGGCTGTGGGCAGTGAGGGGAGAAGAAGAGCTTGCCTCCTGCCTCTTTCGAGATGGAGAGAAATGTGAGGAAAGCCTGGCAGCTGGGCCAAAGCCCTCCCGTTCTCCACTGCCCGATAGACTCAATAAATTCTCAGTCACCAATCGCCTGCTATATACGAGCTTGCCGGATCCCACGGACCTGCTTTACGAGCTGGCCTGGAGCAAGACCACCCATGCACAAAACACAAAACGATAGTTCAATACCTGACAATGACATCATTCGGTGGAGACGAGCCCCACAACTCGGTGATGCGTAAAAGGGGTGGGAGAGGCAGGGCCCAGCAGGGCCTCTGAGAGGGCAGTGCCTACAGCGACTGCTGGAACTAAGCACCTGCCCCTCACGGCTCTGCCCCTGCTGGGGGCAGGGTCAACGGGGAGTGAGACGTGGGCAGAAGGGAACGCACCTACGTAATGACCTCCCTTAACCTTCCCTAACAACTCCCGAGGCAGGCGTTATCCCCATGTCCCAGATGTGGAAAGTGAGGCTCAGAGAGGGTAACGAACTTGCCTAAGGCACCCAGCTACTGATGATAAAACAAAATAAAATTAAAAAATGATTTTAAAAAAATGCCAAGATAAAAACCAGGTGTGGCTGGAACTGAAGTTGGGGTCTATCTGCCCTACTGGCCTCCAGGTTTCCGCTGTAATTTGCAAGAGCCGAGGACATCAGATTGTGTAACAAAATCCAGAAGGTGGGATCTCCTATGGACTGAATTGCATCTCCCCAGAAATGCTTATGCTGAAGTGCCAGTCACCAATGTGACGGTATTTGGAGAAAGGGCCTTTGTGGAGGTCACGAAAGATAAAAGATGCCATAAAGGTGGAGCCTGGATCCAAAGGAAGAGTGTACTTCTAAGAAGAGACACCATACAGCCTGTGTAGTGTCTCTCTCTCTCTCCCTCTCTCTCTCTGACACAGCCGCAAGGTGTCCTTCTGCACGCCAGGAACAGATTCTTCACCAGAAATGGAATCAACTGCACCTTAACATTGGAATCCCTCATCTCAGAACCGTGCGAAAGCTAATGCCCTGCTATTTAAACCCCCGAATCTGTGGTATTCTGTCGTGGCAGCCCACACGGCTGTGACTGGGCCAGTCTGTTAAGACAAGTGGCCTGATGATTGTGGGTCTTTTTGAGTGTGTCCTCAATGCTCATGGTTGTGCACAGCCCCCAGATTCTGCGTGTCTGTTTGTAACTGACACACACAAATGCCTGTCCTACTATGGAGCTTACAAAAATTAAGACATTTTCGGGGTGGCTGGGTGGCTCAGTCGGTTAAGCCTCTGACACCCGGCTCAGGTCACGATCTCATGGTTCATGGGTTCAATCACCTGTGCTCATAGCTCGGAGCCTGGAGCCTGCTTCCGATTCTGTGTCTCCCTCTCTCTCTGCCCCTCCCTCTCATGCTCTGTCTCTCGCAAATGAACAAACATTAAAAAAAATTAAGATACTTTCTAAAAAAGGAACAAATTAAACAAAAGTAGAAGCTACAACATTTCCTTCGTATACCCTGTTTGGGATTGACCTGTGTCCCCAGAAAGATATACTGGAGTCTTACCCTTCAGTACCTGTGATTATGACCTTATTTGGAAATAGGGGCTTTGCAGAAGTAATCAAGTTAAGGTGAAGTCATTTTAGATTAGGTGGACCTGATCCTTCTAAGAAAAGGGAAATTTGAACACAGACACAGCAGAGAGCAGCCCATGTGAGGATGGAGGCAGAGATCAGGGCAGACCCCACCACCAGCTAGGGGAGGAGGCGGGAGTGTTCCCTAGAATCTTCAGAGGGACCACGGTCCGCTGCCGTCTTGCCCTCAGGTGTCTAGCCTGCAAAACTGAGAGACAATACCCGTCTCTTGTTCTGAGCTACCTACTCGGTGGTACTTTGTTACAGCCGCCCTGGCAAACTAATACGATAAATCCACACGGCCCGTTCTGGAAGGTTCTGAATGGGGAAGGTAAAGCGTAAAGCAATGTAAGGAAAACAGAATGCACGCACAAAGAAGGCCAGTTCTGGACTCGGTGGGTCATCACAGTGATCACTATCAATCAGAACGACGGAGGACTATCACGATTTATCACCAACCCACACTGCACCCCAGGGAACATACAGGTTCGGCGGTGGAGGAAGGGAAGGACTGTCACCATGCCCTGTAAGGAGGATGAGTTTGGGCCGCGCTACTGTGGCGGGGGCAGGGGGCAATCCTGGGAGGGGGGCTGTTTGGGCATCAAGGAGACACTCTTCAGTGAGTGGCCATGGGGGGTGGGGGGGGCGGTGTGGGGTTGCAGGAAACATGCCAGAGGCAGCCTTCTGTGGGGGGACCAGCAGGGAGGAAACCCCCCGAGAAGCACCTGCCCACGTGTTCTCCCCAGGCTGGCCTCACTTCCCCGTCAGCGCCGCCCTCCTTCATCGTGACAAGGTTGTTTCCACCCCGCAGGGGGGCACGCCTCTGCGGACACAGGGGAGCCTGGCCCACCCTGGGGACCAGCGCTCATTGCGGAAAACCCAGAGCATCACCCGCCCTGCTCAGCAGGCTGCGACACGGGCTGATGGCCAGCCCCCCCCCCCCCCCGGGAGTGCCCGTGGCTGTGGGAGGCGGCCGGAGGCTACACGGCCAGCAAGGAGTGGAAGCCCCGGGCGGCAGGCCTTCCGGGCATGGGCCCGCAGGTGCACAGTGGGACCCCGCAGTCACAACTTTGGAAGCCTGCCTCGAGCTCAGTGGAGCGGAGGAGACAGGGGTGGGAAATACAGAGGTGCCCCCTGCGTGCTCATGCGGGTCCCACCTGGGACGAGGAAGCACACCAGTGGTCTCGACAGCCACACTTTCAGATAAAGAGCCATTTACTGAAAAGACCAAGAGGAGGACCCCAAGGCATCGGAGACACAGCCCCTTAGGGACGGGGCACGAGAGGGGGCTTCTGGGAAGCCTGGCGGGGCCCGTGGAGTCCTGGATGGGGGTGGCATCTCCGAGAACAGGCAGTGAGGCTGGTTCCCGGAGTGCAGGGCCAAAAAAAATCACCCCCGCAAACTGGAAGCCACTGTGGGTACTGGGACCATGCGCTGCCGCCAAGGGGAGGAAGTGTTGCCACGGGGACTGTGTGAGGAACGGGGGTGGGGAGGGGGTGGGCAACGGCAGGTGCAAGGCGCCCCTCCCTCCCAGGCGTGCAGTCTCCTTGGAGTGATCAGCTCTGGCCACACTGGACCCGCGGTCCTTCGGGGCTGGAATCAGAAGCTGCGGGCTGCCCACAGCTTCCTCTCTGCCGGGCATGCACAGGGGCAAAGTTTACAAGCAACACAGACCCGGGGCAATCAGACAGGGCACGGCCCGTTCGCCACGCCAGGTGGCCTAGTTCCTCACCGGCCCCGAGAGCATTCCAGGTCCCCACCAGCCCCTGCTGCCTGCCCGCCAGGCCCACATCACTTCCTCACGTTGCCCACCTGGGCCTGGAGACAAAGGAGTTTGAGACACCCGGGAGGAAAGGAAAGCAGGCAAGGCAGCCCTTGTTCACATACAATCCCAGGGCACCGTATGTGATGCCTTCAGTCCCGTCTGTCTGGTGGGCATCAAGTCCCAAGAAGACACGCACATGTGTCTTGTCCGCTGCTTTCCTTTCCCCACAAGCCCAGAAACTGAATGGATGAACCCTTTCCGTCGTTTTGGGGGGTGGGGTGTGAGTCACGACGGAGCTGACACAGGGCTTCCCTCAAGGGTCTGGTCTACTTGGAAGAGGTGGAAAAGAAAAAAAAAGAAGGAAGAAGAAGAAGAGAGGAAGAGAGAAAGAGAGAGACAGAGAGAAAGGAAGGAAAGGAAGGGAAGAAAGGAGAAAGGGAGGGGAGGGAAGGAGAAGGAAGGGAGGGAGGTAAGAAGAAAAGAAAGAGGAGAGAGAAAGGGAGGGAGAGAGAGAAAGAGCGAGAGGAAGGAAGGAAGGAAGGAAGGAAGGAAGGAAGGAAGGAAGGAAGGGAGGGAGGGAGGGAGGGAGGGAGGGAGGGAGGGAGGG